TGTGGGTCTCGAACCTGCGGGCTCAGGCAATCCACTCACCTCAGCCTCCCAAAGGCGCAGGATTACAGGCTGAGCCATCGAGCCCGGCCAATATAATCTTAATCAAAGTATTTTGGTATTTTAAGAACTAAATTTACAGTTTATCTGCAGTAATACATGCTGATGAATACCTAGATCAACTTGTGTTTAAAGAAGAGAGTGCCCAAAGATTGACACATGAGTATATGGGAAATTAATATATGATAAAGGGAGTACTTTGAAACAATGAGGGAAATTGATTGTTTAAATATGTGTTAAGAAAACTGCTTCATAGCTGGGCTTGGTGGCTCAGCCTGTAATCCCAGCACTTTGGGAGGCCAAGGTGAGTGAATTGCCTGAGCCCGCGGGTTCAAGACCCGCCTGGGCAACTTGACGAGATCTCATCTCTACAATAAATCAAAAATTAGCTGGGTGTGGTAACATGCACCTATAGTTCCAGCTACTTGGAAGGCTGAGGCAGAAGGATCGCCGGACCCCAGCAGGTCGAGGCTGCGGTGGCCGGGAGCAGCCATTGCATTCCAGTCTGGGTGACAGAGTGAGACTCTGACTCAAAAAAAAAAAAAAAAAGAAGAAGAAAGAAAACTGCTTCACTATCTAAACAAAGAAAGTATCCCTATCTAAACCAAAATACAAAAGCCCTGGATGGCTTAATAGACCCAACATTGAAAAGTAGAATGTAAAGTTAATTTTTGTGTGTGTGTGTTGGTGTCTCACTGTCACCCAGGCTGGAGTGCAGTGGCATGCTTGCAGCCACTGCAGCCTCAAACTGCTGGGCTGAGGTGATCCTTCCACCTCAGCCTTCCAAGTAGTTGGAACCGCAGGCATGCACTACCATGCCTGGCCAATTTTTTTTTTTTTTTTTTTTGAGTCAGAGTCTCACTGTCACCAAGGCTGGAGTGCAGCAGCAGGCTCACAGCCCCTCCGTTGACCCACTGGACTCAGACAATCCTTCTACTTCTGCCTTCCAAGTAGCCAGAATTACAGGTGCATGCTACCATGCCTGGCTAATATTTTGATTTGCTGTAGAGATGAAGTCTCGCCAAGTTGTCCAGGCTGGTTTCGAACCCATGGGCTCAGGCAAAAAATCCTCTCACCTTGGCCTCCCAAAGTGCTGGGATTACAGGCTTGAGCCATCGTGCCTGACCAATTTTTTTTTATTTATTGTATTGACAGGGTCTCACCAAGTTGCTCAGACTGGTTTCAAACCCCTGGGCTCAGGCAATCTTCTTGCCTCCCCCTCCCAAAGGGCTGGGATTATAGGCGTGAGCCACCGCATCTGGCATAATTATTAAAATGTAAGATAAATATTTTTGAGAACTACAGGCAAGGAAAAACTTTTAGTATGTTAATATGCAAATTATGCAATAATGAGATATCAATACCTATAAAAGACTGGCAAAAATGAGAAAGCTGGATAATGCTAAATGATGCCAAGGACATGGAGATACAGGAATTAAGATTCTACTGTTAAGAATGTAGTTTGGAGCTGGGCTTGGTGGCTCAGCCTGTAATCCCGCGCCTTGGGAGGCTGAGGTAAGTGGATTGCCTGAGCCCCTGGGTTCAAGACCCGCCTGGGCAGGCGAGACCTCATCTCTACAATAAATCAAAAAATTAGCTGGGTGTGATAGCACGTGCCTGTAATTCCGGCTACTCGGAAGGCTGAGGCGGAAGGATCGCTGGAGCCCAGCAGGTCGAGGCTGCGGTGGCCGGGAGCGGCCACTGCACTCCAGTCTGGGTGACAGAGTGAGACTCCAACTCAAAAAAAAAAAAAAAAAGAATGTAGTTTGGTGCAGTCATTTTGGGGGAGCAATGTGACACTACCTGGTCTAATTATATGCAGACTTTATGACCAGTAAATCTGTATGTAGATCCATTAAAGGATGTGCATTGAAGCATTATTTGTGATGGTGGTGTGGTAGGCAGAATAACGGCCCCCTCTAAAGACACCCACATTCTAATTCCCTGACCTGTGATGATGCTACTTTGCACAGCAAAGGGGATTTTGCAGATAGGATTATATTAAGGACTTTGAGATAGGGAGATTATCCTGGATTCTCTGTCATAATTATCTGGGCCTAGTCTAATCACATGGGTCCTTAGAAGTGGGAAATCTTTCCTGGCTGTGGTTAGGAGATGAGACTGCAGAATGG